CAAAAAACAGAAAACAGTGCCTTAGATTCGATTTTCTCTGTGTCCACTCTGATTGCGTTGCATCGTGGTAGCGTTATTTTCAATATGGAGATGAAAATGGTAGAAATCGGCAGATTTCGACCGAACATTCCATAAAAGCTGATCGTACATTCGAAACAAGAAACCATACACCTTTATGCAGCGACTAAAGACAGGAATGGCTCCGACCTGTAATTGAATGATAAAAATACTAACAGTTAATAGGTTATGTCTTAACTACTTGCTCGTGCGTATTGTTTGTAAATCGTATGATAAAATCTGAAATAAAGTAGATCTCGAGGATTAAATGACAGAGTCAGGAAACTAAAAAATAAGAACATATTAAACTATAAAATGATTCAAACTCTTTTGGTTTCCGAGAAAAAAAATTGCTTTAAGGCCTTTGTAAAGCTTAGTACTGATGTCATTTGTCGTATGGTGATAGGTAAACTGTTTCATAGTTGACATGTGGTAACATTGAAAGTTTTACCGCCATCTAATTTACGTTTAAACTTTAGGCAAACTAAGTTATAGTTTGCATATCTAGTGTTGCGAGAGTGAAGATCACTAATACGTGTTAAAAGGCGAGTAATATACACAGGCATTTCTCCTCGTAGTCTCTCAAATGCAATCAGATATATGGAAATTTTAGCCTCCTCATATAAAGGTAACCAACTTAAATCATCAAATAATCTGACAGAAGAGGCCTTAGAACTAGCATCCATAATAAATCTAGCTGCATGACTTTCTTGTCTTAGTTTTCATCGGAGCTGATCAAAAATTCAAAACATAAAAAAGTGCAAACCCAAGCTATTCTTAAATTTTTTCTCTGACTTCAATTCGCAGAATATTTTTTAATCATGGTAAACACGAGATTGACAACAAATAACACTGAATAATACAGTAGGTAAGCCTTGTGATATTTCATTTTGATAAACTTCAACATGAAGCAAGTTTAATTTATTGATGAATTGATTCACAATAAAATTAACAGCATCCCATTCGTAGATTTTTCATATAGGGTTAAAGGAATGTATCAAAGAAACGCCCTTACGTCGTCTAAAGCCTTGCTCAATTAAGCGAACTGAACCCCGAATTCTTGGATCGCTTCTAACGATCGTGTTTCCTTTCGGAAATCCAGAAAAAATGTAGCGGTAAATTTTCAGAAATACGTGGAATGAAACAAAGAAACGGGCCTGGTTATCCTGGAAATGAGTTCTGAAATTATTCCAAACAGCATTATCTCGTTTATAAGTGCATCATTTACGCAAATCGCCCGAAATTACGTCCTGAACTTGTTGGGGAGAACAGCAACCCTAACACCGGAAGTCGAAATAGAGTCGTGTCCAGATTATCCACGCGCTTTCCCGTTCTGAAATGACGTTCCCATCCTCTTGCTAAATCACTTTATTAGCAGAAACAGTTCGAGTTTTGAAGGTTTTCACACTCAGTTAGATTGCAAGCTTACTTACGGTATTAAAAATCAAACACAGCTAACACTCGTGTAGTATATATAGTTTCGTTTTCAAAAACAAAACAGAAAAAAAACAGGAATGATGAAAAATATAGCCAAACTGGCATAACAGTGGAAATTCATACTAATCATGACGGTGTCAGAGCGACCGCCATCTTGCTGAGGTCCTACGCGGCTAGCTCATCATGGCTTTATTATAAAACAAACAGAGAAGCCTTGACTGTGCTCTGTTCTCTTGTAAAGCACTTAGGAAGCGGCTAAGTGGAGAGAAATACTGGAATACGTTTCGTGTTTCTCCCTACTCTTCTTTCGTGCTCTAACCGTTTCCTGTGTGCTTTACAACAGAACAGAACACAACCAAGGCTTCTCTATTTGTTAAATGGAATTTTCATTATAAGGTTCCAGGGTGCTAAAGTTTGGAATGAAGTTTAAGTCAATTCTTAATGCTAAATATCAGTTGTAGATATGCCAAGAGTATATTTTTTGTGGCTTTCCATTGTTAAATACTGACATAGTTAGCTTTCATTTGTTTTCTTTCCTGTGGTCACACAACTTTTTAAAAATATACTCACCTGTAGAAAGTCGTCCACTAAAAAAGCAGCTTAGTAGTTAGGCATATTAAAATTATATTTTTGTAGAGGTAAATGAATCGTACGTCATATATTAGTCAGAATTTTATTAGCTCAATCAGTTCATGAAAATGGAAGTAGCTGTAAGAAAATGTACAAAAACAAAATCAAACGAATTAAAAGAAGTGTGCAAAGCGTGTCGGTCATGAATGTTATTTGTATCGTGGTTCAACTTTAGTCTCATCCAAAAAACATTGAATTTTAATGAGACTTTCAACTGAACGTGCTGCGGGTGATGTCCAGAGCAGAGCCTTTTCATCTTTGGACTTTTGTGGTTTCTTATCTTGCGGCATAGTGGTAAGAGTGTTTTTTGTGCGTGGTAACCACTCACCTTTCACCTTTGTGACTTAACACAAACTACAGTTCACTTACAATGCAATATACCTAAAACTGTCATTCGCTATCATGTTTTCAATGCTAAGCATATTTTTGATGATCTTCATTGAAGAGTTTTAGCCCCTTCACCAGGACTGCTGACCAATTCATTTTTCCCCTCCCACTATGATATCAATACAAAGGTAAGCTCATTGGTGACGAGAATAAAGAAAAGAGATGTCTGATCAACTCCCCAATTCTCAGAGTTAACATATCTATGTCAATCAACAAAGAAAATCACTGTTTGAGAAATGTAGGGAGGAAATGGGTAAGATAAACAGAAGATTCCTCTAATATTTGTGGTTCTGAAGCAACTCTAATAAGAGATATTTTTAGTAGCCGGAGTGTATGTTTAAATAAACTCATTTAATTTGACCTCATCTTCCGGTCAGTCTGGCGGACGAGCTAAAGAGGTGCTATGTAAGCATGCCACCCATCTCGTGTTGTTCAGTCAAATGTTTATATTTGAACTGCGCATTTTCGACGAGATGAACTATTTAAAGGAATGACATCCCAGGTTCGCGACCTACAGATACATTTTTAAAGCTTACCTTTATCGGTCATTGCAATCAAAGGGATTTTATGGTCGAAAAAAGATTAACTTTTACATGAATAATCCCAGCTCTTCTGGACTTTTCCTAAAGTTAAATATTTATATACAAATTTATTGATCTGACAGTAAAAGGCGCTTGTTTCCCTCTTACAAGATTGAATATTGAAAGTAATCACGTTTTACGATTAATTATCTCAGTGGTCACTTAAATGAAAAGGCTTTACAAAATAAAAGCGCAACAATTTCATGGGAATTTATATTTGTGTTCCTTGAACCACTAAATAAATACTGTTTTAACCTCGACTTGACTTCATCCTTGAAATTTTTGATATTTTTCCTGAGGAGATTTTAAAAAATTTCTTGTCATTATCATGATTACAATATTGTTTGAAGAACTTCAACTTGCCAATGGAAAGTTTGTCACTTTGCCAATAGTATCTTTGGTCTAGGCATGCGCGAGATGAAACTTTACGGCATAGGGTAAAATATGGACTGGACCATTTTTTGGACCATTTTTTGGACTTTTTTTTTTTTTTTTTGGACCATTTTAGAGGGGGGGGAGGGTGGAGCACACCATTATTACTGAGGGAGGGGTGGGATGAAGTCTATCTATTGAAGATATTTTCAATACAAATTAAAGTCCAGTATTAACGTGGCAGTTTCGCTTCCGCATGACAAAAAAAATGAAGATACGCCGCGACCCAGAGCTTAAATTTTCACATACAAAAACTCAGTCGAAAACCAATTCAAATCCGCATCTGCTACTTTAATTCCCCTCTTAGAGGGGAATTAAAGTAGCAGATGCGGTTTTTACCTCTTACATTTATCGAACTTGACCATTTACCAAGTTATTTACTAAAAAACATAATTTAAATGTTGTTATGTTTTTATTCTACTACATTTTAAAAGTTATCAATTCATTACAAAGCAAATAGTGTCTCATAACTGAAAAGTCTCCCAGCCGTATCACAAGACAACACTAAGTCTAAAACTTGACACAAGTTCCACTTTGGAAAATAAGAAAAGAATGCTATATCATCTGCATATCTTTAAGAAATACTGATACTTTAGGCTAAGGTTTAGAAATACATAACGAATATATAACTGAATTATATGGGAGTGTTAAAACATCCATACACACTACTCTACATTGAGTTTGGTGATAACAAATAACAGTGTACTGCAGTTCTCATCTTAAAATACGCGTCTTATTAAAAATCATAAAACAGCTATGATACAAAGTTCAAGAGTACCAGGTTAAGGGGGTTTTTGAAAGTTGAATGTTTAACTCCCATAAGTAACTGAGACAGAATTTCTCCTTACAGTATGAATACAATATCAAACAGACAAGTGATGAGAATAGAGAAAAATATCAACAAGGGAAATGTTGGTTAATCTTGTACCAAATTCTCTAAGTTAACATCAAAAGAGTTGAATAGCAGACAGTAAGGAGAATTACTGATGAGATCTCGGGAGTGAAAGAGTTAAAGCTCTACATTTGAGTTAATATATGATTGAATGAAATAAACTACAACTCGATGACAGAAGCCTGAAGGGAGAAAAATTTGAACTTAACCCCGTAACCCCATTAGAGTGACTAGCATCTAATTTCTCCATACAATATCACCCTTGAATCACATATTAAGGTCATGAGAATAACGGAAGTGATTAACAACTACAGAAGCTCTTGATCGTTCAGCTAATTCTCCTTGTCAGCACCTCAGGATATGTATAGAGAACAGTATGGAGAACATGAATACTGATGTTAGGGTGTAAAGCTATGTTAAATTTGTGATGATATCGTGTGCAGGAGATCTATTTTATACAATCAAAGAGAGAATCAATGGGCCTTCCTAGATTTGTTCCTTCTCTCGCGGTATTATGAATTAATTATTATCCAGCGACTATGTACCTGAACGACGTATTTTAAAGGAGCAGTAAGAAACAAAAACTAATGTCCTCCCTTGCTAAGTAGGAAGGTTACGGCCTCAGTTTTGCCATATGTTTTTGCGATTTTTAACGGTGTGCAACCTGCAAAATCTTTTGAATTAACATCCAAACCAAGTGACAGAATTTTTGTGATGATGGCGACATTACCACACTCTGAAGCGGCGTGCAGTGAATTTCTTCCTAACTGGTCTCCAATACAGGGATCGGCTCCCTTGTCTAAAAGATAATTTACAGCTTCAATCTTGCCACAAGCTGCAGCCAACATCAATGGTGTACTTCCTTCACTATCTTTTGCATCGACATCTAGACCACGTGACATTAGTGTCTCGATGATGGTGACATTACCACCTTCCGAAGCGGTGTGCAGTGAATTTCTTCCTATCTGGTCTCCAATAGAGGGATCGGCTCCCTTGTCTAAAAGATAATTTACAGCTTCAATCTTGCCACAAGCTGCAGCCCACATCAATGGTGTCCTTCCTCCACTTTCTTTTGAATCGACATCTAGAGCACGTGGCATTAGTGTCTCGATGATGGTGACATTACCACCCTGTGAAGCGGCGTGCAGAAAAGTTACTCCTGACCGGTTTCTAATAGAGGGATCGGCTCCCTTGTCTAAAAGATAATTTACAGCTTCAATCTTGCCACAACCTGCAGCCCACATCAATGGTGTACTTCCTTCACTATCTTTTGAATCGACATCTAGACCACGTGGCATTAGTGTCTGGATGATGGTGACATTACCACCCTGTGAAGCGGCGTGCAGAGAAGTTACTCCTGACTGGTTTCTAATAGAGGGATCGGCTCCTTTGTCTAAAAGATAATTTACAGCTTCAATCTTGCCACAAGCTGCAGCCAACATCAATGGTGTACTTCCTTCACTATCTTTTGAATCGACATCTAGACCACGTGACATTAGTTTCTCGATGATGGTGACATTACCACCCTGTGAAGCATCATGTAGTGAATTTCTTCCTAACTGGTCTCTAATAGAGGGATCGGCTCCTTTGTCTAAAAGATAATTTACAGCTTCAATCTTGCCACAAGCTGCAGCCAACATCAATGGTGTACTTCCTTCACTATCTTTTGAATCGACATCTAGACCACGTGACATTAGTTTCTCGATGATGGTGACATTACCACCCTGTGAAGCATCATGTAGTGAATTTCTTCCTAACTGGTCTCTAATAGAGGGATCGGCTCCTTTGTCTAAAAGATAATTTACAGCTTCAATCTTGCCACAAGCTGCAGCCAACATCAATGGTGTACTTCCTTCACTATCTTTTGAATCGACATCTAGACCACGTGACATTAGTGTCTCGATGATGGTGACATTACCACCTTCTGAAGCGGTGTGCAGTGAATTTCTTCCTAACTGGTCTCCAATACAGGGATCGGCTCCCTTGTCTAAAAGATAATTTACAGCTTCAATCTTGCCACAAGCTGCAGCCAACATCAATGGTGTACTTCCTTCACTATCTTTTGAATCGACATCTAGACCACTTGACATTAGTTTCTCGATGAGGGTGACATTACCACCTTCTGAAGCGGTGTGCAGTGAATTTCTTCCTGACTGGTTTCTAATAGAGGGATCGGCTCCTTTGTCTAAAAGATAATTTACAGCTTCAATCTTGTCATAAGCTGCAGCCAACATCAATGGTGTACTTCCTTCACTATCTTTTGAATCGACATCTAGACCACGTGACATTAGTTTCTCGATGATGGTGACATTACCACCCTTCTACAGCCCCCCCCCCCTTTTATATCATGTTGGTTACGACTGATCCCCCATGAAAACCATGTGTTCCCCCCAGAAAATCCTCCACTAATTAAGAATAATCTTTCAAGTAAAATTCAGTCCATGTTAATCTCCCAAAATCAATGTTAATAGTACTTTTGAGTACGTTTTTTCAAAATAATTTGTCTGTCATGGCATAAAGTGGCGTGGAATAAAGGTTTGACTGTAAATATTTTATTTAGCTTAGCTTGAGTGTTAATTTAGTTACCTTCCTCTGCTGGAATTATTTCCGTGCCCATCCTTGTCTTCAAAAACAAAAGTGGGAATCCGGCCGTTTGTGTCTCTGGATTCTCCACTCTCTCCTTTAGTAGTTGGAAATCATTCTCGAGTCTTTTCACTTTTACTTGCAATATTTCAACCTCGTTCGGCGTTGTTGATATCACTGAATCAGAGTGTTCATACTTTCTTCCTGGCACCTTCGCAGGACCTAACAATAGACAATTTACAGGCCACTGTGAGTTTCTTAGCTGAAGTTTCGAGGGTTAGCCCATCCCCTGCACGAAAAAATGGATTTACTCGGGTTTGCCAAGTGAGCAAATATGTAGCAAATTTAGTGATCTAAATTTGCACCGCATTTGCAAAAAAATATATATCAATATGCTGATTTGTTCTTACGGTGTTGGTGCGCAAATGTAATGTAAATGCGACAGTGTGCACATAGGGCAATTTTTTAGTAACGACGTGAGTTTGCGAAAACTTTAACCTCCTTGCAAGAAATGGTAGTTTGCCTTGGAGTGCAAAACCAGGCAAATATAGTGCAAAACTTATTTTTTACTACTATGTTTGAATACGTTTGCTCAAGAGATGCAAATGTTCATCTTTGCTTATAGTTTGCTCTAAATTGGTGTAGGAGCAAGAATTGATACTCTTAAGTGCTAATTGTAAGTTTGTTTACAGCAGTGCATCTCAAAGTAAAAAAAATCAAGCTATTAGTATCTACATGGATTGCACAATACAACTACTGTACAACTACTCATAACAGAAGCCTAAGTAAACCTAGCTAGAAATGGATAACTTGCTAAAATGGGTTCTTTTCAACATAGTAAGCGGTCAGATAACAAGCAATGCACTGTGAAAGTAGGGTGAGGTTTTTTTTTATAGAGAGTTTGACTTTCTTTTTTGTTCCTAAGAGCCATCGTAAATATTCCCATACAAACTATTATAATTTCGCTGACTCTTATTTCGCAAGATGATCATCACACAGCTGGAGCTAGGGTTGCCTGTGCGTATTCTGGTCAAAATTCACTAAATTTCAGTTGGCGAAGGACATAGTTGACTGGGAGTATTTGCATTGCCTCTTATTTAGACATAATACAAAATCGAGTGCAAGAGACCAGAGAGATGTTATCTTTAATAATAAACGATGACATCGCTCGCATCCTAATTAAACGCATCTTCTAAGTGCTTAATATACAGGGCTAGTAATATCAGCAGCGACACCCAGAATAAATCAAATCAGTGAGGAATCTATCACCAATATAGCCCTTTATGCTCACATTGGCGATTTAACAAAATAACCGATAACAATATTTAACAGATGGTTCCAGAGAATTAGCAGATCTAATGAATAAAACTTAAAAACCGTTTTGTATCCAATAGATTGGTCAGTGGATTGAAGATTTGGCACCTAAAATATTACAGTTTTTACTTTATTTTTTGGTATGATATTTCCTCTATATTAGAGCCGATAGAGATATTCGTTTACTTTTTAATCAGATTGTGACATTTTACCATTTACTATCCCTTCTCGCATAGCTAGAGAAACAAATCCTTTAATTGTATAGTTACCTTTCGCAGATGGAACCATTTGAGTCTCTACAGCTTCTATTCTTTCCTCCAGAGACTTGACTTGGTTCTTAAGTTGTGCTATTGTTATCAGAGAATTTTCAGCTGTTCTGGGTGGGAGAGATAACACTGAGTCGGAGTGCCTACGAACACCTCGTTCCGGAGGTCGCTTCTGGTTACCTAATGGTAGTCAGAGAATCATTTTGATTATTTTTAGATCTATTCTAGTGTTCATACCTGACACACGCACACGCACACCCACGCACCCACCCGCACACGATAAGGGGAAGATGCAGGATTTAGTGAAGGGGAGTTCAGATAAATGTCCACTGAAAGCGGACCATTCAAGAGCGGCTGGGGGTATGCATCCCTCGGAAAATTTTTAAATGGGATCAACAAGTAATATTTTCCTGGCATATCCAATTTAAGCTTTTTGTAAAAAAACTGCAAGTGTTTTCAGGTTTTCATTTCAGTTTAGGAGGTTCGGCCGAGTCACCCGAACAACCGTAGATCCGCTAAAGAAATTCACTACGCCATGGTTTGCAATTAAAGAACTGAATTCTCCTCCATATTTCGTCTCCGTTATTTCAGTGATTGAATATTAACCTGAATACCGAAAATAGAATGGGCTGTCAAAGTTTACTTCCCTTAATTAATGGTATTGCTTCGGAAATTAAAAGTTAAAAATTGCCAGCAACCATAACGTCGAGTCGAACAAGGCAATGAACTTATTCCACAATTAATTGTTTGGCCAATAAATTATATCAATCGGATTTACTCAAAACAGCCCTTGTTCATAACTTAATGTGGTTGAAGCAGCAGCAAAGCTGTGCAATTAAACCTCTTCCTCTTGTTACTGAACAGCTAAATTCCTACACTTCAACAACCAAAACAAAATTAAGCGTGAAATATAATGAGCCAATGAGACTGACCAGCCCAAGTTGGCAAATTAAAATGAAGGAGATGGCAAGTGGGTAGGTTGCTCATGTATGCACTGCTTCAGCCTGCAAAAGGATAATGATTGCAATTGACTGGTCCAAGTCGGAAATGTTTTCTTTCGCTATTCAATAATCTATGATCTATCACTGTTAATTTATGAAGCAAAATTTGACAAAAAAGTTGTTTAAGTATACAATAACGCAAATTGAGCCAAAATCGAGCAATCCATACAGTGATAGTTTTTATTTAACTTTTGCTATTAAAGCAATAACCCCGGAGGAGATCGGCCTCCGAGCGTACAAAAGATGCAAAATAAAAAGATCCCCAGTGTTGTTGATTTTAAACACGCATCAACTTTGTTTTAATCAACATCCTCAGATAAAGTTACTCACCGTCAGCTTCTTGAACAAGCTCAAAGTAAGCTTTCTCGTATTCTGCTTTTTCAATCGTCACAGTCAATTCCACATTCTCTTCACCACCGGCACGGGTCTTCATTTCATCAGTCACAAAAAAGTTAAATAAACGTTCCCTGAGCGTGCCATCCTCGTACATGTTCCACAAAGCAGTGAGCCCCGTGAGATTGTCGACCTGAATTGTAAAGCATACGCACCCTTGACTCACTTCAATCAATCTTGAACCAGCAGGAAGCACACAACCCTGGAAGCAGGTGACTAACTGATCATAAGTTGACCAGCGAGTCAAAATCTCACGGACAGTGAGTAAGGTTATTCCCGCTGCTGCCACTCCAAACACTGTCTTCATGTTCAGTACTGAAACAAATGGCACTAAATTAAATTTTGAATGTTGATATTTAAAATCATTTTTGGTGGTAGTTTGGCGAAGATCATTGTAAACAAGCTGGAAAAGAACCGTAAGAGGTGACAGAATATGACTGTCAAACATCGAGGGATTTTGTTTTGCATTACTTGAATCCGCTGACTTTTTTTTTTTTTTTTTTTGTAGTTTGCGAGAAAACATACCGTCCCTGACGACGTGATCGCTCGGTTAACCCAAATTAATCGCAGTCCGATGCAAATTATGTCCAAATAAGTGTCTGCGGAACTATGTTATCTAAGAAGCAGACTGTCCGATTTTGATTTACCTCTGGGTTCATTTTTGGGAAATATGACTGTAGAATCTTAGAAATCTCGCCTCGAATGGTATTCTTCAGCTTGAAGCAAGCATTTCAGCCTCGTGACCCGGTGAAAGCGGCAAAATTCGAAATCGGCAGATTTTGACTGAACGTTTCGTAAAAGTTAGGCCGTTCCTTTTTCTTCAACCATAGGTACATGAACTTTGATTGATTCTGAATGTGTAGAAGCACAGACGGCCCAAGCTCCAGCTGTAAGATGATCATCCTGCGCAATAACAGTCATAGCGGAATTAGAAGAATTTGTATGGGAATATTTACGAGCGCTTTAAGGAATGAAAGAATACGTCAAGTTCTCAATAAAAATACCTCATCTTACTTCCACGGCGTATCACTTGCTATCTGACCGCTTACTTAGATGAAATGAACCCATTTTAGCGAGTTGTCCATTTTAAGGTTTTCTACGCACATAAGGAAAGCCCAAGGCTTAACACTCCATTTCCGAACGCCCGATCCGAGTAACGAATCAAAGTGCTCTGTGAGCAAACTCGTGAATTGACACATGATTCTTTGGATTATGTTTAATGTTATCTGGTTTAGGGAATTTTGTGGTTGATTGTCATATCTAGAGTTCGGGTAGTAGTTCAGTGTTCGCTAATGTAGCAAAGAAGCAAAGTAACGTTGGGATAAGAAGGCAGTACAATTGAAATGATCATGCTATGACATTTGACAAGGGTGGATGATGTCGTGTTTTAAACGTATATCATTTTTAACTCGTAAATTGTGCGCATGCGCAAGAGCGAGTTATAGATACCATGTGGGGAATGGCATTCGCTCGCTCGATTGGTCGATTCCTGTAAACTTTTTTTAGATTTTAGGCTTTTGAGTGCATTTGATAGTTTTTAGCGAACAGTAAACAGAAGAAATGGCGACCTTTGTTGCTAAGAATAGTGGTGGGGTGAAAAAGAAGCCAATGATAATCTTAAAAGAGTTTTTTTTTTCGTTTTAGTTTCAACAAGCGGCGCCAGCGACTGGCAGGCATGCAAGGATTCACACTGAAATAACAGAACAA